TTTAATGGACAAAATAAATATATATCTGCCCATATGTTATTTGTTAATTAGACTGTTTGTATTATTATAAATGTTTTTCAGCGAAGAATTATTAATTAAATTGACTTTAGGAAAAGGGTTTAACAAGTATATAAATACATAACTAAAATTGAATTAGTATATTACATAATGGATAATGAGATGAAATGGAATAATTTGAATGCTTTTTATAAAATAATTAATCTAACTAATTTATATAAATTTAATCATAATAAGCATAGATAAAAATCTATAATAAAAGTTCCTAAAAGGTTATCCAACTGGTCAATAAAAGACATTGTTAACATTTTTGAGAACAAAAAATAATAGCTGTATGGATTATAATTAATTAGCTATGGAAGCGCTATGTAAGAAAAAAAATTAGTTGTTAATTTTTTTTGTTTTCTTTTGTAAATCTTTAAATACATAAAAAAATATATTTATTTATTTTTAAAACTATTTAATTGTTGGAAAAATAGAAGAGATAATTGCTTACTAAATAGTCTCTTATGGTATATTTTGTTTAAATTTATATAAGAAAATTTCATATTAACAATAATAAAATTTTCGTATTTTGTAGTATTTATATAATTTATTTTGTATTTTTTTAATAATTATATTTATTAATTTGAGAATGTTGGATTTTAATTGCTAAACAGTACTCATAACATCATAAATAAAATATATGTAATTAAAATCAATAATTTGTGAAGATTTAAATTTTTAATAAAAATAACGATTTTTATTAAAGTAAATAAATATCTCTTAAGAATAACAAATACTCAATTATGTATACTGTGCACAATACAGTTCACTAGTTTATAGCATGAAAAATATAATTATATTCATTAAATTAGTAAAGACAACTATATATTATCTTGGTTAATTTGTTTGTTCAATACTCTAACAAAGTCATGGAATAAGAAATTAATAAATTACTAATATATAAACGTGCTTTAAGAAGATTATTTTACATGGTTAAACGAAATTGAGAATTTATAGTGATAATGTAATGTGATTACAAATTAAGTTGTATAAGTTCCTATTTTCCCAAGTAAAGAAAACTTTAATTAATTAATAGACTAATAAACATTAAACCAAAGATTGATGCATTAGAAACAATAAATTCTTTTTTCATTAATTGCAGTATATATTCCATGAGTTCCTTTTATTTTTTTAAAATGAATCATTTACTATCATCGAATGTATGTAGGTGCTTCACACAAAAGGGTTTCATAAATTAGCCAACCAAATAAATTTCTAGTATTTGAAATAGTCATATAAATAAAAAATATATAGAGAAACATCTACTTTAATTTATTAAATATTTTAAATATTAATTATTTCCTTATTAACTATTTGACTTATTAATTAACAGTTCAATACCTTTGATAAAATATTGGAAAATAAATGATTCTATCGATGCATTTTAAAAGATATTTAAATGAAATAATAAATTAATAAATTTTTTATTTATAAATGATAAAATTTTGAGAAAAAATGTACATATCTATATATATATTCTAAAAAAATATTATACATTTATTTTTGATCTATACACTATTTAAAAAAAAAAAAATTTCACTTTTTTATATGGCGTTAATTTAAAAAAGGAAAAATGTTACGAAAGAATAAATAACTAAATAAATGATATTTTTTTTATTTTATATTATTTATGTATAAAATATAAAAAAAATAAAATAAAGCATTATAACAATAGAATATTGTATAAATTTACATAAATAATAAATAATTAAGACGATACCTAATATAATTTATAAAATATAAATTATTTTATATAATAATTTTACTATGTAATATAAAAGCGAGTAAATATTTCAATACATTCTCTTTATTAATACATTTTTGCAATACTAAGAAAGTTATTGAATACTCAATAAATAATGTAGGAAACAATAAGTTAATAAGGAGTAGATATAGTTGCATTTACTAGTTAAGTTGGTTTAAAAGTTACATTAATGCTATAAACAGATAAATTTTATTAATATAGTTCATTTCAATGAGAATTTATATTTCTTAATAATAATCAATATATTACTCTTTTAAACATAAAATCTTATTATTTATTCATTTATAAGTTCAAAAATTTTTACTTACAATTTTATGAATAATTTTTAATAATTCAAGTATATTGCTTTTAAATTAACAAGGATAAGTAAATAATAAAACTTAAACTTACATTATTACAATAATGAAAACCTTATTGTTCAAGTAAAAATTTTTTTTCATTAAAAAAATCTCAATTGAAAAATATTTTTGAAAAAAATAATTTTTAAAAAATAATATCAAAATTAATAAAATAAATAACTTAAAAAAAAAAAAAATAAGAAAAAATTTTTTTTTCACCATGTATTTTAAAGAATGTATTACAATGTATAAATTTTAAGAGAAAATCGCTTAAATTTAAGCAATTTATTATGTGTATATTACTAATATATATTTCTTGAACACTCAAAATTTGAATTATATGGGTTTTTATTATTAATGTAAATAAGCAAATAATAATACGTATTTATAAATATCAGAAAAATGAATAACTTAATATATGTATTTCATAAAGTTATTTATGTAGAACGTTAAGGAGTCAGTAAAATACTAAATGAAATATGAACTACTTTTGGTAGAATATTATTAACCCTAATGTTGAAGAATATGATTAAATTTGTTTAGTTTATCAAGTAATGGGGAATAGATAATTTAAATACAATAAGAATTAAGTATTGCCAAAACCTAGTTTTTTCTACTTGTATTCACTATATGTTAGACTTCTTTATTAATTGCATGCTCATTGAATTTATTTGTATTAAAAAAACAAATATATAAAAAAAAACACAGAAAACGTAGCTCATTTTGTTTAAGTCAAAATAAAACATTAAGAAAATTATTTACTTTTATCAATTAGTATCAAATAATAATTATATTAGTTAATTACTATATTAAGTAACCTACAAAACATTCCGTAAATGTTATTTTTTGAACATTACATTTTTTTTATATCTCAAAAAAGTGTTGTACACAATCATCAAAAAATAAATAAAAATAATAACTTTTTTTTTTTAAAGTGAGAGTCAGAGAAAAAAAGATATATAATAAACTATATCTAACTTTTTCTTTTCCTTGTATACACTTTTTATGTATACATTTCTACCTCTTTTAGTATATACAAATAAAAATATTTTTACTAATTTTGTTTATTTAAATATTATTCAAAATATATCGATTATACTAATTATTTACTACCTATGTAAGATCGTATTCGAAGAAAAGTATACATATTTTGAAGAACTATAGAAAAATACAATATTAATCAAGAATTGTATACCACATAGAGATATAGGAGATATAAAATATTTCTCTATGCTAAGATTTTATTGTATATGTCTGTTTTTTCGAAAATATTACTATGTTCTACGTAGAATATGATAATTATTTATTTTCGAAATCGATTTAGAAATATCTATGAGAATTTTAATAAATTATAGTGCAGAACCGTATTTATTTATGAGGATAATATTAATAATATTACTTTACACGAATTATATAATTATGAAAGAAAGTAAATAAAATATTAAAATGAGAATACATAATATAATCATTATTGATATGTTTCTTATGTAGTAACTAGAATTAAAAACATATATTTAAAAGAATTATCTTCATATAATTGAAGTAAAGAAATTTATATTATATTTAGAAAGATTAAATGAATGGGTAATAAAACAAAAGAAATGTATAAATTATAAATTAAGAATTCAAAATATGTAACTGAGAGATTTAATAAATAGTTAAAATCTATATATAATTCAAAATTTAAAATTTATTTTAATATCTATGGAAATGGCAATATTTTTCTTTTTTACGTAAATAATAATAAGAGAAAAAAGAGAAATTTAGTTACACAAAAAAGACATGATATAATAAAATAAAATGAAAATCGAAATGTATCTAAACACAATTACTTTTCATTAGATGAAAAACTATAGTAAATAAAATATATGATTAAGCCTTTTGAATTTTTAGCATAACTAAAATTATAATGTCTAAAAGGGTTATAATATAGACAAGGTATAAGAAAAGGAATTTATACAGTATATATGCATAATAAAGTATGCCAAATAGTATACATGCATTAATATATATATATATATATATATATAAAAGTACAAACAAAAAAATACAAAACATTGAAAATCTTTTGTATTTTTTTATTGCATATAGATGAATAAAAAAATAAGATTCACTTTCTATATATAATTTTAGTGGTTGTGAGTTAATTATATTTTTAAAAGCATACAATAAATTTCATAATTCCATACGAAAATGTTAAGAAAATTTGTACATAAATTAAAATTACATATGAATTATATAGTATAATTACATATTTATTATATAATTCTTTATAAGTGGTTTTATAGTAAACTAATGTATTAATTCTTCTACGTTTTACCTGTTAATTTAATTTCAGTATGCTGGTAAAATATTTAAATTTTAATTTAATAAAATATATCTCAGATTTTTCTTTAAAGAAAATATCCTTAATAAAATACACAATTATTTATGTTAAACATCCAATAATGTATATAAATATTATAAATAAATAATATTGAATTATCAATATTGTAACATATTTTTTTTACTTAAGAAAAATTAAATAAAACACTTTTAAGTGATTTTATTCTTTATTCAAGAGTTTACGTCCTTTACTTTTACTTTTTTAATTTAAATGTCAAATTTCATCTATTTAGAGATATTAAATTCAAATTATTTCTGTATATAAATAAATATATATAAATAAAAAAAAACAATAATAAAAATTTAAATTTCAAATAAGTAGTATATTATATTCTTATAAACAAAAAAAAAGGAAAATAAACTGTATTTTCTATTATACTATTAGATTTCTTATATTTAACATTATTGTAGTTAAAACGTATATAACTGTAGATACTCTAAGTTCAAAAATGTACTATAAAAAACAGAAAATACGCATATCTCTTTTTTTTAAATTTTTTATATTTACTCTTTTAATATGGATATCACAATATTCTAATAATGTAAGAAAAAAATAAAAATTAAGAAATATTGCATTTTACCAATATTTTGAATTTTATTTTAAATTTATTTTTAATTGCTATTTCATTAATAAAATAAATCATATATTTATATATTATGAATTTTTCTTATAATACATAGTATACTTGTAGATTCTTGAAGGATAAAAACAATTTTGAAAGGGCAATTAATTTAATATACAAAAGAACCTTATCAGAATATGAATTAATAGAATCAGATGAAAAAAATTTAAATATATCAGATAAGACAAATCCAAGTGACAGGGAAGAAGAAAGTTATCATAATAACTTAAATAGTGATTATATAAACTTAATAAATCTAGATAATGATTCTGAAGTAAAATTAGATATGCGAAATATAAAAGAAAATAAAAAAATTAACGAACATAATGGAGGACACCCTATCATTAAATTAATAATTCTATCTGGAATGTTCATATGCTATATATTTGTAGTTTTATCTTGTTTATACAAGAACTATTACATACATAATACACCAAATGGAATAACTCAAGATTTATTTTCACTTTTAACAGTTACTCTTCTTTTACTTTGTTCAATAATAATAGTAGACCGTGGTATATTGTGAAATTTAAATTATAATATAAATATATCCTCTACTTATATTATTGCTAAGCAAAAAAAAAAAAAAAAAAAAACATAAAATATATCACTCTTTGTTATAGATACTGTTCATATGAATAGTAAACAATATAATTAAGCCAAATGCACAATTATGAGGATTAAGAATACTGTAATTTTAAAAAAGTTTTTCTTACATAATTAGCACTTTATAATATATAAAAAGTATATATATTTACGTGAAAATTTTTTATTATAGTATTTTTGATTCTTTAATCGTTTTACTGTGCATTTTATGTATAACAGATTTACTTATAATAAAAATTTTTATATAAGAAAAAATTTCTAATTGATTTACTAATCGAATACTATGAATCTTTCAATAAATGATAACTAAAAAGACAAATAAAGTTTATGTACATCAATATATACATATTTCACTAGTTAAAAAGTAAAATATATAAAAAAATATATTTATCCAAAATATTTAAAATATATTATATGAAATAATTATCATATTTCACATATCAATTAAAACTAAATAATAAAACACAAAATAAATGTTTTATTTATTCACCGTTCAAAGAATATTAAATACTTTGAACAAATGGTTTATAAAAGAAATTATTAATCTTTTTGAGAATAAAAAAATTAATAGATCTATGGAAAATAAATAATAAGCCATACAAGCGCTAGTTAAAAAAAAAAATTGATTAACATTTTTAGTTTACATAATAATACATACAAAAATATTATTATTATTTTTTTTTAAAAATTTGTTTGAAGAAAAATTGAAGAAAAAAAATTGTTGACTAAAAATTTCTTTGTAGCAGATTTTTGTTTAAATTTATATAAGAATATTTTAAATTAACAATAAAAAAATATTCATTTTTTGCAGTATTCAAATAATTTACCTCGTATTTAGTTAATTATTTATATTTATTAATTTTAGATCAATAAATGTGAGTTTCAAAATTATATATAACATTATAGATAAAATATATGTAATTAAAATCAACAATTTGTGAGGATTTAAATTTTTATTAAAAATAACTGTTTTTATTAAAGTAAATAAATGTCTCTAAAAAACGAAAAATTCTCAATACATAAGACTATATAAAAACAATTTACTGGTTTAAAACATTAATATTAAATTTATATTTATTAAATTAGTAAGGCAGTTCTACATTATTTTTACTAATCTGTTTGTTCATTACTCTAGCAAAGTAATTAAATAGTAAATTAATAAATCAATAACTAATATAATTTATTTTTAATACTAGTTTCTAATACATATAATTTATATAATAATTTATTTTAAATAAAATAAGTAGAATTTTATATGCATTTTCTTTATTAATTTATTTCATAAATACTAGAAAAGTTAATGATCAGGAAATTAATAAGTTAAGTATAGAACATATTAATCAATAAAAATATATAAAGAGAAAATTCAACTTATTTTATTTATTAGAAAAAATATTTAATTATATAAATTATTAATATTTGATAATTTGTACTAAATAATAATTATATTAATTAATTATTAAGTTAATTAATAATATTCTCTATATATGTTATATTTCATATTATATTCTTAAATTTTTCGTGAATAAACGCATATTATCTTATAATAAAAAAAAATAATAAAAATAAATAAAATAAAATTATAATTTATTTATATCATAATTTTTTTCTTATTCTATGTATATGTAAAAACAAAAAAAAAAATATATATAATATTTATTTTTAATGTATGTACTTTTAATAAAATTAACTGAGTGTGAATATTTTTTCCTTTCATAACTAGAATTAATAGATAAAAATACATTTACTTAATTATTTAAATATTATTCAAATGGATTAATAATACCATATCAAGAGAGATCGTGTTTTGTGAAAACATAAAAATGTAATATTAGACAAGACATATATGAATTATTATATAAATTAACTTAATAAATAAATAATAGTGCTAATATTTACTATAAATTATTAAATAACTTACACAAAAAATTATTTCATAATAAATAAAATAAATAGAGTCCTCTTTGCATGTTCTTCATTAATCTGTTTGTTTTATACTAAACAGTCATTGAACCAGGAATAAGTTAGGCAAAGCACAATTCCTAATGTGAAGGATAAGTAAAAATATTCATTATTATGTATAATGTCAATTATTTAGTGTCATATTTAGACTAATATAATAAATAAATAATCACATTTATATTATGTGACAAATTATCAAAAGTTATATAAATATAATAAAATTTATTTTATAACAAAATTTGGCATTAAGAAATATAATTAATAATTAATTACTGTTTATAGTAAATAATATTATAAGAGATAAAATAAGTGGAGATTATTCTATATTATCTTAATTTGACTATTTCAAACATTATTCAAATATTTTTATTTTTAATTAATAAAGCAGTTATTAAGAATATATATATAATATTATCCAATAATTATATCTAATTCCTTTTATTTTCATATTAATTATAAAATGAATAAATTAATAAAATATATAATTCATTTATAAATATCTTTAATTATATTTATTCGTTTTATTAAATATATTAAATAAAAAAAAATTAGCTATCATCAGTGACATATCTATGTATCCTATGTACTATTTTATCCACTTTATGTTGTTCTAAAGTAATATTTCTTGATTGTAATTGTTGAGCAACTTTATCTTTTACAGAATTAATATCAGTTGGACCTTCTTGTTCTTCACCATTATTAAAATTTTCAAGTTCTTCAGATACAATTTGGGTAATCACACTTCTTTCTATTCTGTGAGAATTTGTTATTTCATCAATTATTTCTCTTGTTAAATTACCTGAATTTATACCATAAAAATTTTCTAATAATCTTAAATATATATTTTTAAATTGTAAAAATGATAAATCAATATTATTTTTTGAAAACATTTCAAAAATTTCTCTTAAAACAAGTTTTGAATTATAATAAATAGGGACAGCATCATCATCACTACGAACAACTATAGAAACTAATTTATGCAATACACAACCTTCTAAATTCAACAGTTTAGTAACATATGGTAGATCGATTCTTTCATCTTCACGAAATCTTACATTATAAAAAGAAATAATATCATATATAATTTCATTTATAACGGATGAAAAAGTTAATTTAAATATATATTTGCGTATTATTATTGAATCTTCATTGGCATCAATTAAATGTAATGTATCTAACAATATAGGTATATAATTGGATTTGTCGATCATTCTATCTTCCAAAAAAATAATCTTCTTCAATAATTCACCAGTTATGGATTTTTCTATGCTTAAAATACTTCTAAAAAAATCATCATCATTATCTTCTGTTGAATTTTTTTCAAATAAAATATAACGTTTACCAATTCTACTATATACATTCATTATTCCATTAGCTGATAATATAATACCATTTTTACTAAAAATTCCATTAATTATCGATAAGTCTCTTTCCATACAATCATAAGTTTCATCTGTGCTATTTTTATTTTTTACTAACTCTTTCAATATTTCTAATGATGCAGAATGCTCCGCAAAAATGTATTTATCTATGAGCTCATCCTTGTTTAATAATTTTGTTTTCACCACTTTATTATCATCTTCTAATGTATCTGGAATCATTTCTGCAAGATTCCTTTTAATCATTGATTCTAATTCGTAACTACGTAATAATAACATATCCTTAAATAAATTTTTTAATAAATTAACATTGTAAATAAATGCTATTATGATAGATATAAATAACGAACTAAAAAAACTGAATGTTTTGGAAAAATTCATTTCAATATTAAATGATAAGATGAATATTGAATTTTAACTATAATAATATTCCTAGAATATTAAAAAAATTATTAATATAACATTTAATATAGATTTTAACATAGAAAACATTGATGAATATAAATATTGATATAGATATTCATATTTATAAATTGGGCAACAATTTTTTTTTAAATGTATTTAAATAATTAACATTAAAAATTTTTCACTTTTGGTTGTCACTTTTTATTTTTTTTTTCTTTTTGTTTTTAATTGCATGCTGAATTAATGCTTGAAATTATTATGCAGACTAATATATTAATTACTATTATATAAAATGAACTAATTTATAAATAAAAACTTTTAAATTAATTTTTATTTAAATTAATTTCATAACACATAGTAATAAATTCAATTTCTTCAGTTGTAAGAAATTTTTCACAAGATATGATCATTAGCTATTTAAGGAAAAAAAATCGAACTTAAAATAAATATATAGTTTAGATATACAGAAGAAATGAAAATAAGAATTATATTATTCCTTACGAATAACTTTATATTTTTACATTGTTTAATTAGTATTGATGTATACATTGAAAATTTCTTATTTGAATATCTCATTATAAAGCAAATATAAAATTACAAAAAATGACAAATTTGTTAATTTGTTATTAATATGTGTCCATAAATTACATGCAAAATATAATTAATATTTAATAGGTGAATTAAAAATGAAAAATATATTTACAAAATTATTATTCATAAAGAATTAAATAAATAAGTCTTATTGGCTTATTAATTTTTCGTTCAATAAATTTATTAAAATATTAAGTAAACAGATGATAGAGTGCATGTATCGTTATATTTTTTATTTTTGCTGATTTAAATATTATATTAATTCTACAAATCAATAAAATATATTTTTATAGTTGAATTCATTCAGCAATTATTGTTTTTGAGACAAATTTGATTATCTTAATAAAAATTTTATATTTTTATTAATAATATGATTCCTAATTAGATATTAATTAATAAGTAAGAAAACGTTTATAATCTATGAAAATGCATACAAATTGAGGTCTGTTGGATTAACATAAAAAATATTTGTAAAAATTAAACACAATATACAAAAAAATTCTACTATTATTATGAACAATAAAAATTTCTCTATTGAAAATATAAAATTTTCTTAAAAAATTTTAAACTATATTATTCATTAGAATTTTATGTCCCTCTCATTAAATTAAGAGAGACAATTAATTTTAAGAACTATATCAATTAACATGTAAAAATAGCTAAAAAGGTAATGAAATTTTTTTTTCTTTTTTTTATTTAAAGTTTTAATATGCTAATTTTATACTTACAGCAGCAATTAATTCTCATTGTAAAAAAAGATAATAATTAATTTTATTAACCAATATTTTATGGTTTCGTGTTTTAATTATTCATTTTAATTATAAGTTACTTTGTATGTAAAGAGAAATAAGACATGTATTGATTATTAATAAAATAATTCTTCGACGATTCCGCCCACATACATATGACATATATAAGATGATACATTTAACAATAATTCTCTTAACATGAACTAGTTTTTTATTCAATCTACTTAACTGATGATTTCAACGTTTTAATAAGTTGTTTAAACAAGTTATAATTATTTTTGTATTTGCAGATAATTACCTTGAAAAATGGGATATATAAAATTAATTCCAAATATAGTAAAACATAGTGTTCATTCAGTGTTGATTTATTAATAGCACAATCAATGACACTACTAGTATGGAACAAACAAATTCATAAAAAGCATTTAGAAAAGACTCTTCTTATTTAATTGGTTATAAAATAATTTATTACATATATTGTTTATTTTTAATAATTTGTGTTAAATATAATTCTATTAATTATTATTTAAGAAAATATGCGCATTGTCATATAAACGTGATATCTAATATTGTATTTTTTAATTATTACTAAATACGCAAATAATGTATTTTAAAAAATAGAAAATAAAAATTATTTTTTTTTATGAGGTGTTATGTTTTTGGTTTCTTAAAGGTATTATATCTCTATTATAAATGATATTTAAAAACATAAATCAAGTAAATATATAATTATATGTTCATGATATGTACACAGGAATATATGGCACAATAAAAATATATAAACCAAAACTAATATATATTATTCATTTATTTCATTAGTTCAAAGAAAATAATATAAAATTCTATATTTTTTTTTTTGAATTAAGATTATGATTTAAAAAAAATGAATAATACTTAAATAATGTTTTACTTTTAATTTTTTTTTTCTTATAGCGTCTATAAAAAAAAAGTAATTTTTACTTTTTTTTGGTATGGAATGTTACGTTTTCGTTTTTATGCAAATTTAAAAATGCAATTTGAAATATTGTGTTTATAGAATATTTGATAAATTTACTTATGTAAAATAAATAATGAAACATTAATAATTCATGTAATAAATTATTTCACAATTATTAAGGTAACTAGATTTTTCTTTAATTGTTCTCTGTTAATTTATTTGTTCAGTACCCTAAGCAAGTCATTGAAAAGGCAATTATTATATACATTATATAAAAATTTATATATATATGTAATGAAAGAAAAGTATAAACCTATATGCCTAGTAAAATATATACATTATGTGTATTAAGAGAATTTCATAAATATATAATGCTTGTTATTTTATGGGATCTTTGATACAATTATAGAATTTTATGTTGCATGTATTTTTTATCATGTAATTTAGATCATTTTATTAATATACGTACATGCATGACATACGCCTATATACTTCTTAATAAGTATTATAGAAAATAATAAAATTATAAGCTATACATTTTTTATACATTTTTAAAAATTTAATTATTAAAGAAACTATCATATGAAGAATGTAATTTTTTTTTGTTTATTTAAAATTGAGTTATTTTTAGTTAAGACAAATAGTTAAATATAGAATTGCATATCGTTAATTTTATATACAATTATCTTTTATAATACATTTGTGTTTATTTAATTTCACATATCGCATTTATTTTTTTTATTATTAATATACATATAATATTATTTTCTATTAATTTAATTTTAATCTGTTTACTTTATTATAATATTAACATATATCATTACGTTTTAGTAATCATAAATTATGAAATAAATAATAACATACAAAGTTCATTTCTTTTCAGTTGACGAATATGTGATTGAAAAAGGAAATAATATAGAATGAAATAATTTTTAGAAAAGTAATTTGTTCTTTTTTTAGGTTCATTAATGTATATATATAAATATAATAAAATGTATGTATTTTAACGATTTTTTTTTTTTTATTTTTTTTTAGTTTCAATATTATGCGAGAATTGTTGTAAGAAATATTGTATTATTTAATTTAATTTTTTTATATATATATAACAGAATAATTATAAATTAATTTTTCTTAAAGGTTTTTGTTTTAATATTATTCAAAAATTACCGTATGGGAAAGAGTAAAATTTAATTCAATTTTTTTATGTAAATATCCAAAATAGTAAAATTATAAGTTTATTATTTCTTTATTTTTTTGGGAATATGCGAAGAGAAAAAACAAAAATAAATAAAACACTTTTACTTTTTGTTTAATTCAACCTTAGTTGTTTTTACTCAACATTATATAATTATAGGTAACTAGTTTATTTTTAATGTTGCATGCATTTTCTTATTATGTTGATATCTATGTGTCATTAAATTTAAAAACATTTTTTATTATAATTTCATTATTTTTATTTTCTATATTTTGATTTATTTTTATTTATTATATAATTGTTTTCTATATTATACTATTCTAGTATTATTTTTTATTATATATTTTTTATCTTTTAATATTTTATTTTAAATTAGATAAAATTAAATTTAGTTGTTTATTTTAAATGCATGTAGTATATTTTACATTAATTAATGCTACTATTAATTATTAAAATTGATTGATTCAGAATATGTATATTTAATAAGGTTTATTTTATTTTAATTAACAAATTTATTAATATAAATGGAGTTAAATCTGTATATATTTATTAATTTTGTTTTAATGTATAAAAATATTTTTGATGATTTAAAAAATTGTATATTCATTTGTGTTTAAAGCTACTATATTTTTTATGATTTTTTCTATATAATAAATTAAATAAATATTTTTATTTTATATGTATATATATTATTAATTTTTAGAATTATGAGAAATTTTATGAAAATTATTTTTAAAAATATTCATATATTTCTCTAAAAAAAATGAAAAGTTCTAAATTATTTTGTTTTTTTAATTTGTTATTTTTCATAATTTTATCGGTAATACATTTATTTAATGTTAATTTATTTTCGAATGTAATATGTCATTCGTTGGAAAAAAATTATCAATACTTCTGGAAGAAAATGGAAAGGAATCTTGCCGAAGGAGAATCATCAAGTCAAATAACTGGAAAAAAATCAGATGATTTTCAACCTGGAATTTTATACGAACAAATTATTATTATATGTGATTGTCTTTTTGATGGGCATAAGGATACTCTTTTTAATATTCGCAGTTTACCAGATGATAACCCTGAACCATTATGTTTTAAAGATGGTTTATTTATTGGTGATAAACTTTACCACCGTTTACAATGGTCACAATTAAATCCATCGTATAAGTTAATACGGAATGAGATAAAGAGAGTGAAAGAATGTAATGCATTAATTATTTCAATGGGTAATATTAGAGATGTAATAGAATATGTTTTGGATATTTTTAAATTGGAAAATGATTTAACAAAAGTGTTATTACATAGTATGATTGGTAAAAGTCAAGAAGATATAACAAGAATTATAAGAGATGAGAGTAGCATAATTAGTAAAATTCTTGAGGAATTACAATTAAGGAATTTACAACTTCCAGAAAGTCAAGTTAGAAGATCAATGTTTAGAATATCAAGACGCGCTCATGATATAGCAAATGAATTAGGCATTTTATATGGTCATATTCCCGAGCCCATAGATTGTTATTTGGAGGAGTATAGTGATTGAATTATAATTTTTTAATTTTTATTAATAATATATATTATTATAAAAATATTTTGTTTAAATGTGAATTTTACTTTTTCATTATGTTGAAATTTTTATAACGAAAAAGACAATTTTTTTTGAAGTATAATACAGATCTTCTAGTGGTATTATCAACCTATATTAAATATTATTTAAATAAATATGTAAAAATATTTTTATTCATTCAAATTAAAATACAAGGAAAGTGTGAACACATAAAGTACGTGTACTAGAAAAAAATACTTTCTCTATATGTGGTTAATAAAAGGCTTTATTAACCTTTTTGGAAAATAAAAGGACTAGATATATGAATAATATATAGTTGGTTATGCACACACGAAAAAAGAAAAAAAAATGATCAATTTTTTTTGTTTTTATTTTTTATAAAAAAAAACAAAGATCGTCAGGAAACAAAAAATTGATAAAAAAAAAAAAAAAAAATAAATTGGAAATAGATTTGTTCTAGTAAGAATGAAATAAATAAAAAAAAAAAAAAATTTTTTTCTTTTAAAAAAAACGAAATATAATTTTTTATTAATTTGTAAGAGAAAATTTCATACATATAATAATAAAATTTTCATATAAATAATATTCATATAATTAATTTGTATTTTCACTAATTGTTTATGTTTTTTAATTCAACAGCAATATATATTAATTGCTGAATGTAACTCATAACAAAGAATTAAGTAATATACATTTAATTAATAATCTATATTCAATATTGATATAAATTTTTAATAAAAACAAAGATTTTTATTAAAGTAAATAAATGTCTATTGAAATTAAGGAATGCTGAACAAAGTAGATCACATAATTAAGAATCACTCGTTGAAAGTATTTAAAAATATATACAAATACATCGAAACCGTAGAGTTAACTCTATATGCTCTTTATTAATTTGTTTGTTCAGTACTCCAGCAAAGTCACCGAACACCCAGTTAATAAACCAATATGTTAATATATCTTAGTAGTTGTCGTTGCAAAATTAAAAATACTGGATAAATTTAGTTATGTTTTATTATTTTTTTTTAAGTGCTTAAAATTATATACATATAAAACAAATATTTATTTTTATGGTGAGGTTTACTTAAAAAGAAGAATATTAATATTTTTTTAAAAAACGTATGTATTTATCATTGGGGATGATAATATGGAATTTTTCTTTTTATAAGTGATTAAAAATATAATATAAAGATGTGATATATATGAGACAGTGGGTAGATTAACAACGATAGTAATTAATTAATGTAATTAGTTTTTGGCATTAATTGATAAATATAAATAATTATATTAATATTTTAATAAAAATAAAATAAATAAGGTATTCTCTGTATGCTTAGGGTTTAGGTTTAGGGTTCAGGGT